ATCACCTCCAGCTCCATCCTTTTTTCAGAGCTGCTTTGTCTGGATTTGAATGCTCCTAGCCTCTGGCAATCCCATCCTTCCTGTGGTAGAAGGGTGGTTTGTAGACTCTTTAGGTAAAGCCACGGGACTGAAACCATTTGCTTTCTCCTCTTCGTGCCAAGAAAAGCTCATTTTGTTGCCTTCTTGTTCCCCTTTGAATTGAAGAGCCAAAATACTGGATGACCACTGCTGTCAGCCTAGAGAAGGGACCCGATCACAACCTGTGAATGGCCACAACAGGCCTGAAAGAGCTCACCTCAGAGAAATGTGCCATTAAGAGGCAGTGAGGATGGTAGAATGCAGCTCTACATCATTTAACCCACTTGAGAGACCTGCCACTGGCTCCAGAGCCCCAGAGGAGCCAAACACCTCTGGAGCACTCAGCCCAAAGCCCTTTGCAGGACACATCCCGTTATTAGCAGAAAGTAAAAAATTCAGCAGGTGAGGTTGATGCTTTGGCCTGGTGAGGTCCAAGTTCCCCAGCCTGGGAAAGTTCCAGGTGCCTCCCTTGTCAGTGATGGAAAGGCTGCCAGCTTTCAGAGTGCTTTCATTCTCAACACCCTCTGAGATATCTGGGTCTCTGAGAGGTCTGGAAGCTGGAGGTGCACACACACAACCTTGCTGAGCAGTTTCTGCTGTGCTGTACACACTTGAAGCTCACGAGAAACCCTCAGAGACCTTCTGTCTGGCAGTAAGAGCCCTTCACAACATGATAGAGAAGATGTTGAGAAACCACAAGTACTGTCCAGCTAATGGCTGCTCATATGCTTTTGCAGAGCAGTTCAGCTCATTCATGAGCAGGAATTCTGTCTGGAGCTTTGGAGCAGGAAAAGACCCCATGGGATGACAGCTCAGGGGCTGTTGAGGAGCAGTAACCTGGTTTCCATACCAGCAGGTAGCCTACACCAGTCCTGTGTTTCATCCATGCCCAGCTCTATGCTTGGTTTTCAAGAACTGGTTAGGAAATCCCCAGTCCAACTGGTTTTACTCTCTGAAAAAGCCAGTTTGCCTGAGCTGAGCCAGCTGACTGACACTCTCCTCAGTATCTGGCCCAGTTCCCTGAAGCTGAATCCCTGTATTCGGAAAGCCCTGGGGAGGCTCCAGGTGGGCCCGTGTGGTCCCAGTCCTGTCTGGGCTGCAGGTGACCTTCAGTTCCTTTGGGCTCCAGCCTGAGCCGTGGCTATGAGAGCATCCAGGCTTCCTGCCCTGGAGCAGGGTCTTGGCTCTTGGTTCCTCGCTCTGCAGAGCAAGGCTGAGAGACTGTTCTGGCTCTCAGGAGGAACTGCATTTCAAAATTTTCCAAACAAATCACTTGGATTATTTCTAACTGACATTTTTTGGAGGGATTTTCCTCCCGCCGGAAAGGAAGGACTTGATTTATTAATTTTTCAAAAGCTTTTCATCCAAACTTTCTGAATGCTCAAATGGGGGGAGAGAGAGGGACAATGAGTTTGGGCAGACCAGATGCACATGCCCTGCCTAAAGCTGGCAGGCACAGGGGACTCTGTGCTGAGGCTCCTGGCTCCTCCTTGCTGTCCTCAGCTTGCAGATGAGTTCCCTAGGACCTCATCTGTGTGTCCACAGCCACCCCAGTGCCCTGCAGCACCCTGGCACGCTTGAGCTGGTGATCAGACCACCATCAGCCCTGCACCCTCAGCCCACCAGTGCCTAGGATGGACACTGGCTAGGATGGAGACACCAATACATCTATGAGTAAAATTCATATTTTTATGCTTTAGTGTCTTTTAGCTTTCCCTTTTATTTTTGCCTTTTCCCTTAACTGGAGGAACTGAGGGGGATTTCCAGGCCATGGGGCACCCTGTCCCTCAGACAGGGCCCATAACCATGTCCCCGCCCTAACCATGGGGCACCATGTTCCTGTGCCAAGGTGCAGATTCCAGTCTGTGTTGGCGGGTCTCTCCCAGCGGCGTCAACATCAAGGAGCAGCAGGCAGAGCGGTGTGTCTGCAGCCCCTTAGCAACCCTCACCTCTCCAGAATTCCCAAAATTGGCAAAGCACAATGGGGGTCTCAGAAGGGAGAGATCAGGACCTTGCTGGGAGGAGCTTTGCTGTGCCCATCTGCCCCCCTGTTCTGGGACGGGTGGCAGAGGGGTGCTTGCACTGGTGATGGGGACAGCTTGGGTGGTCCCTAAACATCCCCTCCTCTCCCACCATCCTCCCACTGCCCAGTTGTGGAGTGGTTCCCACCTCTTGCCCTGATACTGCCATCACTGCAGGGAGGTGGAGGCACCTGAAAGACTTCATCACAACATTTTTGGGGGACCTGCTGGTGACACCTCTTCCATTGGCTGCTCTCTCCTGTACCAGCTTCTGACTGTGCCCCTGCCAGTAGCCCCTGGACTCCAGGTGCTCTTCCCAGAAGTGGAGAGCAGTGTTTGAAGCTGACCACCCTCTCCTGCTCCAGGGAATCATAGAACAGTTTGAGTTGGAAGAGACCTCAAAGGATGTCCCTTTCCAAGTCCCTGCCATGGGATACTTTCCACAAGACTGGGCTGGTCAGAGACTGATCCAGTCTGGCCTTGGACTGTGGCTATGCGAGGCCATGCAGTAGGAGAGGTTCTGGCACTGTGCTTCCCAGGAACAGGAGCCATCTGGGCTGGGGGACGGGAGAAACAAAGCCCTGAGACACCTGCATCCCTAGGAATCACACTCTTTACAGGGAACAGGGCAGAGGCTCTGAAATTCAGATGGAAAAAAAAAATATTTTCCAGCCATTATATTTAGTGAAAAGAGCTGTTCATTCACTTAAAATATAGGTGACAAGTACAAAAGGTATTTGTCATTCTAGAGCAGGCCAAATCTTCAGGAGATCCAAGATATATGGTACGCACCCATGGCCCAGCTTCAATCTGCTCTTACACTGTAAATTCCAATTACATCATGCTGCCTTGTTTAAATACCGTGAAACCTGGCTCATGCCCTAAGTATGTTTTATATATTGCCACATCCATTTGAAATAGATGGGCAATGTGTTTTACGGCACATGTGCAAATATCTCCATATTTTTCCATCTGGGGGTTTATGGGATCTTTCAGAAAATTAATAATGGGGCTCGGAGGAAATGTTCGACTTGGAGGCTGTAGCAGGGATTTATGGCTATCCCACTGGATGCCAGGGAAAAGTCTGAAAGCACCCAAAGCAGACGAAGGCCCCACGATTTCACCAGGCGTTCCCTGAGAGCTAATTTTGCGTAACAGTCAGGACCAGGAATTTCCCCCTACAGCCAGCAGGTTGACAGGAAGGGATTGCTCAGGAAGTAAGGAGCAAGGGAGAGGGATGGAGATGGAGATGGAGATGGAGGTGGGGACCAGCATCCTGGGGGCTGCTGTCAGTGTCTCACATTTGGGCAGGGCATAGGAATGACTGAGCCTTGCTGGTGTGGGGGCAGAACTGCCTGGCCACTCCAAGGTCCTGCTTTGGCCACCCTGCCTCACTCCCAGCTCCAGGTGCCATCTAGTTTTGCTGGAAAAGGGACAGTCTGTATGTTTGTGCTGGCCAAAGCCATCTCATTTCTGGCTCAAGAGGCCAGCTAGAGCCTGTTGTGGTCTGCTGGGTTTCCTGATGGATGAGCTGCCCCAGCTGCCCCAGCATGGGGAGCACTCAGGGCTCCCAGGACAGTGACCTGAGCAGCGCCAATGCTGTCCCAGGGCCATGAGGATTACAGCATGGGTGGCCAGCAGGGCTGGGAAGGGACACTCAAGAGTCACCACATACCAAAAACCGCAAATGGCCCTGAGGTCGGGTTAGTGACCCATAGCACAGTCCTGGAGCTTTAAACATCGGAGATTACTTGCTCCCACTGTCATCTGTCTGGCAGGACACAGGCAGGGGACAGGAGGGGACAGACAGGATGCACCACCTAGCTTCAGCCACTGCTCCTGCAGAAGTCTCTGTGGTGATGTCAGTGCCAGGGAGAGGCCCAACACAGGCCCCTTTAGACTCCTCGAATGTGCTGAGTTGGGTTTGCTCTGCCCATCTTCATCTCCTCACTCCCTGTGCTGTGAGCAGGACCATGATCTCCACTGTGGCCAACCCAGGGATCAGCTGGTGACTGTGTGTGCCTGGGCTGGCCACTGCCTGCTCTCAGACAGGGAATCCTCCAGGACCAGCCATCTTCTGGGAGTGCCCCCTCTCCCAGCTCCTGCACAGTTGATGGCTTCCCATCATGTGGGTGTGGGTGGGGGGGCGGGGGGGGAAGTACTGTGTGGTGTTTATTTTGACGGTGGAGAGGCTGGTTCTCCAAGATTTTGGGGTAGAGCATCTTGTCCAAGATGAAAATATTATCTGTTTATTGAGTCTCACAGTGGCTGTGTAAATAGAGGATAAGGTTCGATGGATGCTGAGGGTCTGATCCTGCCCCATGCAGAGAAATAACTGATTTCTGCACAAAGATGCTGAGCCCAAGACATGGGGGTACCAGTATGGCTCTGATGGGGCAGCAGCTCCCCTGGGTGGATGCTCTCTTTGTGCCACGACTCCTGTGCTGATGGCAGCAACATCCCAGCAGTGCCTGAGAGCCAGCTCAGGGCATGTGCAGGGCCAGGGCTGCAGCAGAGCGCCACTGGGGACACCTCTTCCCTCATCCTCTCCATTGCCACTGAGGTGGGAAAAGCCCGGCAGGAGGGAGCTGATGGGTTTCTCCAGATGGTGCCCCGCTGACCCCAGCTGTTCCCCGTCTTCGGCTCTTCCTTAGGAAAACACGGAGTGGGCCAGCCCATCGATTAATGGTTTCCTCATGTTCCCCCCACCCAGCCAAGGGGGGAAGCTGTCTCCCTGCTCTTCAGACCCTGCTGAACTGAGCCCCCTGCCTCCCTATTCTTCCAGACCCCACACAGGTGCTGCATATCCTGTGCACAAGGGGAGCGTGTGTTTAACCAGCAAATTGTGCCCTTGTAAAGATGAACAAGGAGATATGTTGGATGAAGGACTACATGAACAAATGAATGAATGACAGGTAATTAATGCTGATGTAACAAGTGCCCCCAAGGCTGGTAAAAATACAGTAGGCATATTGAAGAACATCACATTTCTCACAGCTTTGCAAGGACAAGAGGGCTTGGAGCAACTAAATTCCCCAAACACTTGTTTGAGTCATGAGTGGGAAAAGTGTGCCCTGCCCTGGTTCCTACAGCCCCTCTGCAAGGAGCCTTAGTGAGTGAAAGAGCCTTCATTGAGATTGGGATGACAGGAGGAGGGCTGGGAATTGCAGAGGTTGTGCTTTGCCTAGGAAGCAAAATTTAGGATGTTAATGAGACTTGTGAGGGTTGGAAAGTGCCAAGTAAAACATCATGCTTGGGTAAGGAGTGATGGACAGAGTGTTGCAGTACCAAGGGCATGGGACAAAAGATGTGGCACTGGTTGGCTGGACAAGATGTGGTTGGTTGGACATGTCATCACACCTGAGGAGTGGCAGCAGGCCACAGCTGCCTACTACCATGTCCACAGGTGGCAAAGTATGACTTGTCCATGTTATTAACAATTAAAGCCTGAAGAATATGGGCTGGCAGAGCCACCATCGCTGCTCTCTGACAGCTGAAGCCACTACTAAGATCCACCTGGATCTGCATGGTAGCATGGACAGAAGTTGCTCTGTGTACCAGAGAGCATCAGGAGAACAAGGAGAGCAAGACCAGGTCAGACTATGACAGAGGTCATGCTGTGTAGGTCTTGTCACTTCTTGGAGGCTCAGCTCCTCACCAGGAAGAATATTCCCACACCCCAGCACTGAGCTGTGCCCTGTTGGCCAAGTAAAATGCGCTTTGCTGGATCCCATTTCACCTAAGGAACGTTGTTTTCCTGTCTGATGCAGTTAATTTTATTTATGTGGACTTCAGTTACCAAGAGCAAAGTGACGGAAAATACTCTACACAAACATCCATTTGTCAGGCTGGGGTTCAGCTGTTCAAACTCCTGTGATCTCTCGTGAGTGGAGCTGGCTAGACAATACAGAAAAAGACCATTGAGTTTTCTGTAGTATTCTCACATTTTGTGTCCTTCCTTGGCCAAATTCCGGGTTTTAATGAAAGATGTCTACTGGTGTTTTGAAATGAGAAAAATTTCAACCAGCTGCAAAATTCAGTCCCAAAGCAGGGGGGAAATTGCAAACTTGGCCTCTCTTTCCGCTGCCTTTGTGTCTCAAATATTTTGCCCTAGCTGAATACTGGGAAAAGACCTGTTAAATAAAAAAACATGGATGGAAATGTGCGTGGTGGTTTTGGCCCTTCCCACATGGGCCAGCATCCGCCGCCTGCAGCAGCCGGTCCCAGCACGGGGCTTCTTGGCACACTGAGCTCGGCCAGCTGCTGCAAGGGGAGGGGGATCTGCGCTCGAGGAACTGGGAGTGCACCAGGGCGCACCAAAGGCTTTGCTGAATTAATACTTTTTCCCTTGAAGAGCTATTTTGGGAAATATATGACTTTGTAGTGCCAAGCAGAGCTTGCACTGCAGTCTCTCTCTCTTGCCCTTGCAAAGCCCATAGCTGTTGGCTGCAGCCACCAGGTCTGTGTGACATATCCTGCTGCCACCTGAGCCCCCTGCCCTGTGTTACCCATGGACTCTGGCTGCTCCCAGTGGTGTAAAGCACTCCACACCACCAAAGGGGTGGACAGGGTTGGGTGGGTGCTGGTGGATGTGGAACTGCCCCTGGATTTGCAGCTCTCCACCAAAGGATGCCTATGCTGGTGTGTGTTCCAAGCCCAGCCTGCTCTATAGGGCAGGATGAGCAGCACCTCTGAGCAAATCCATGGTGCCTCTCCACTGCCCTTGGTGTCCTGGCACCAGCTGAAGGTGATCCAGCTACAGAGTCCCAGGTACAGCCAAACCGATGTGCAGGCCCCCGTTCCTGTGCCAGGCAGAGGGAGAGGAATAAGAAAGGTGAATTCTTGCTTTGGATATGGAGGTGACATAAGAAAGAGAAGTCAGGAAAACTCCTTCAGGGATCAGAATCAGTGAAGAGTGTCTTCCTCAGTCTAGACTCAGTGCAGAGTGTCTTCCACCAGTCCTTCAACCAGGATTTTAGGACATTCCTCAGCCAAAGGGAGAGAGAGAGAGAGAGGGAGAGAGCTCCTCTCCTCAGCACAGACCATGGGGTGGTGGTTCTGCTCTGGCATCTCTGATCTGACCCAGCAGGACACTGAGATGCCAGATGGGAGCCATCCTTCCTCAACAGATGGCAGAGGTGAAAGAAGAGGGAAGAACTGCTAGGAGGATAAATGGAGAACTCCAACCAGCAAAATCCTCAAAGAGTTTTAGGTACCCCACTTCAGTGGAGGAGAAATCAGGTCCCAAAGGAAACCCTGGAGTTCCCTGCCCTGGCGTCCCCTGAGAAGGCTGCGCCCAGTGTTTCTGAGGAACACAGACACATTGTGCCTCTCCTTGCTTGGAGAAACCATGTGCTGCTGAAGCCCTGCCCTGAGAAGTATCCATGCCCATGGAACAGAGGTGCTGCCCTGCTCCTGCTGGGCTGTGGCTGCTGAGAAGAGGTGGGGGGTCAGAGAACCCCCACACCCTATGGAGTGATGTCGGAGGATGATCCTGATCAAAGTCCTGTCCTTGCACTCCCAAAGGGTGTTCCACCACTGACTTCTGTGTTAGGACTCCTGCATTTGTCCAGAGAAGCTGTGGTTGTCCCATCCCTGGAAGTATCCAAAGCCAAGCTGGATGAGGCTTGGAACGATCTGGTCTAGTGGAAGGTGTCCCTGCCCATGGCGGGACTTGGAGGAAGGTGATCTCTGCGGTCCTTTCCAACCCAAACAATTCTGTGACTGTTGGGTGCATGGGGTTGGAGTGAGCCTGAGCCAAGGGCAAGTTTGGTGAAAGCAGCTGTGCAAGGAAGAGGAGAACTGGGTGGCCCAACTACATCAAGAGGCATCTCATGGCAGAGGCCAATAGTCTGTGACAATCCAAACAAGAGGAGCCAGGGATGGGAGGGTCCTCTCAGCTAAGAGAGAGGAGGGAAGACAGTCTGTGTAGGGAGAGGGGATAATATTAGCTCATCCAAGCTCAAGTGGTCCCACATACCCATTACCCCTCAGCTTCCAGCCTCCCCGCACCTCGGCCCATGCCCTTTGTAGGCACCCAGATACCCATGGGACCTGAACAATGGCACTGCAGGCCCTCCACAGCTCTGAAATGTCACTTCCAGCATCTCCAGCAGCTCCACCAATGTACCTGCATGTCCACACAGACATCCCCAGGGCCTAGATCCTCACTCCCCAAATTCCCTTGTCCTGAAACCCAACAGTGCCCCACTAGTCTCTTCAGCTGGAAGCTCCAGCACCACCCTGGGATGCTGAAGCCTAGAGGAACCACCCTGGAATGGGGAGTCCACACAAGTTGCTGTGGGCTGGAAAAGGTAAAGTTTAATGGAAGACCATGAGGCTACAACCCCTCACTGAGCCATTCAATAAGCAAGGCAAGGTTTCTGTGGAAATGAGTATCTATTGTCAGAATACCTATTATTACTATTTGTATTTATTAAGCCAAGACCACTACAATCTCAACATGGGAAGATACTGGTGTCTGTTTAACCAGAGACTAATACATGGTGAAGAAGATATAAAAGCCTAGAGGTGGATCAATGAAAACTTTTCTCTCTTCCTGTCACCTCTGCCTTGTGCATCTCCTTGGACAACGTTGGCCACAGCAATTCTTCCCAGGAGAGCACAGTCTGGCCAGGTCTGAAGATGCACACCAAGGCAGATGTCACCTGGTGTCATCTCAACAGAAACAGGTGGAATTATGTCAGTTGGTAGCAGGTGAGAATACAGGCACATAGACCTGGGTGGATGGATGATTATACATGATGGCTCCGGTCAGCCTGGCTACTCCAGCTCAGGTTCAGATGAGCAGATGGACATGGGAGGGGAAAATGGTGTGTCCAGGTCATTTTCACTGGGTTGTCTGGACTAGGCACCAGGACAGTGGCAACCAGGGGTTGCCAGGTCTGTCCCTTGTCCCCTTCTTCCCAGTGGACACAGTCCTGCCTGGTAGTGGCCACCAGCACACTGTCAGGGCCTGGCTTCTCCCTATGGCACTGCAGCACCGCACAGGTCCTGCCCCAGCTCGCAGCACTTGTCCGTGTGAGCCCATGGTCACCGGGGAATAAGGCCTTGTAAAAGTTCATTTGTCCTTTCTGGTGGAGGTTCTGGGCTGGACACTCTGCATCACTGGACAGTTTCCACTTCACCTGCCCACATATCAGAATGAGGGAGAGAAGACTCTGACCTCCTGTATCTCCTGGATGAGGAGAAAGGCAGAGAGAGGTCTGGCAGCAGCACATTTTCAGAGTGAGGAAGAATCATACCCTGGATGCTAGAGAAGGGAGAGGTATCAACTGAGATGTCAGCACTGGGCAGAAGACAACTGTGTTAAAAGGAATACAAAAGCCTTGAAAATGAACTCCAGAATGCCTGGAGCAGGACATCAATCCCCTTCAAGCACTTCTGGTGACAGGCACCCACAGGACCTCGCTCCACTTTGCTCCTCATTAAAGGTTTGTCATTACTGCATTATATTTAATACACACTTAGAGAAAAGGACTGACACGCACACCCACCCGTGCACACGCACACAACAGGAAACCATTGCCAAAATATACACTATAGACAAAGAGTCCAGTCACACTATATATATGTACAGAGTCTGTGGGCGCAGTCTGGCAGTGCCCAGCTGGGCTGGGGCTGGGCATGGGAGACAGGGTGGGTGCAAACCGCTCAGGGCTTCACACACTTGCCCTTCTTCTCCCGCCGCTGCAGTTTCCGAAGGCGGCGTGTCCAGGCATCCCGCCACTGGATGACCAGGCTGTTCTTGTCGGCCATCAGTCCAGGCCGGTCAGTGGAGTTTTCGCTGATCCCCATCACCAAGTACTTCTTGCTGATCTGGATCTTGGGGCACTTGCAGGACAGGTCTTTCAGGTGGATCCACAAAAAGTTATCACCGCGCTTGACCCGCTCGTCACGGCATTTGTAGACAGAGAGGATGTTGATGGTGAACTTGGCCCAGTTGGCCACCGTCTCCATCTCAAGGATGTTTACCTGGACCACTGAGGGAAAAAGGGAGAGGCATAGTGATGGGGGATGCTTTGCCTTGCTCCCCAAAGGACAGGAACTGCCCTTCCCCAGCAGTCCCACCTGTCTCATCCATTGCAACTTTGGGAGGGCTCATTTGGAGACCTCTCTCCATATGGAGTGTCCTCCAACCCCTGGATGCCTTCATCTGCCCCACCCACAGCCAGCCCTCATCTGCCTCTGGGCCAAAGCCCAGGGGAGGCTGAAGGTCCTTACCATAGTCCTTCTTGCAGTATTTCTTCATGTTAATCTTGTAGTTGCCCTTGGCTGGTTTGCAGTAGGAGTCACAGTCTGCGGCAGAAGAACAGTGGGTTGAGCACTGAGGGGTTTGAGGCCCGTGAGAACTCATCCCATCACATGGGAAGAGGGAGTGGGGTGGAGGGGACAGCAGCAAGACCCAGCCTGGCAGAAGGTGGCGGGTACTTCACTCCTCCTGAGCCAGGGCCTGAGCACTGCTGGACACAGGGGTCTGCTGAGTCCAGCTGCTCCCCTGGCACCTCAGAGGGGCCCGGGGCTCAAAGACCAGCACGAATGGCTGATGCCACACCAACTGGGAAGAGGAACCAGGTGGCCTTGGGTGCATTGAGCAGATTCTGTCACTTGTGGTGATGGTGTCCTGCAGGATAAGTCAGCACAGGGGTAGTGGAGGAAGCCTGGAGACTCCTTCCAGACACAGAAAGGGATGGATGGGAGGAATGCAGGTGAGGTGATAGTGGCTTCCATGGAGGGCTGGCAGGGACCATGGCCAAGGAGAGTCAACAGAACAGCTGTGACCCTGCAGTCCTGGGTGATGGAGGAAAAGAGGACTTGGCACCAGTCCCACAATCAGCCGCACAGGGGGCAGACCCAAAGGCAGGTGTGACACCAGACCAAGGGAGTCATGATCCTCAGAGTGATTCAGCTCTCAGGGGCCAGAGTGGTGGGAAGAACGCTCAGGGGATAGCCCCTCCAGGGACCTGTGGCAGGTTTCCACAAGTGGGGAGGGGACTCAGGCTGTGGGAAGGAGACAGGTGAGGGAAGTGGCCCTGGTCTACCACATCACTCCTGTTGCCTAGGCATCCCCTGCTCAGGCTGCTCCAGAGGGGCTGGGCAGGCCATCAGGCTGTCCTCCACCACCCTGTTGTCCCCCAAGGCTCCTGTCCTCCAGGAAGCTTTTTTCTGTGCATTTCTAAAGCCTCCAGATTTGCATCTCAAGCAGAGGGAGGTCAGGTAATGCCTCTTTCCTTCTCCCCAAAGCCTTTGATCCCAACAATTGCCCGAAGCAGCCCTGTTCGCCTTCTTTCTTTACCCTGCCATCTTCCTTTGAACATCTCAATTTATCTCTTTCCAAATAGCATGTTTTTTTCTGAGCCCATCCTTCTTCTTTTCTCTGCCTTTTGCAGGTTCTCCCTCTGGTTTGGCCCCGTGTCCCAGGACAGAGCCAGCAGCCTCTGAAACTGTCTTTGCGGGTTGCCACAGCGATCACTGGGGATGGAGGTAAAGCTGTGGGGGAAGATGGGGAATAACAGAGCACTGTGCCAAGGGGAGGCGGAGAAATGAGGAAAGAAGAAGCCCAGGAGCACAAACTCACCCTGGATTCTGCAGTTCTCCTCTCTGCTCAGCTCCTTTTTATCTGGGACTTCATGCCACCTGTTCTAAATTTGCCAGTGATAGAAGCAATGCAGCGTGAAGCTAATTCTTGGCAGAGGGGGACAAGCTCTGATTCTCAGTTTAGCCCCCCATGCTGCCACACTGCCCCTCTGCCCGGGCTGGCAGAGCTGCCTTGGCCCTGCTGCTTCCCCTGAAAGAGCTGAGGTGGCTACAGAGGGGCCTTGGGGCCTCTCCATATAGGGGGTGGGCTGTGCTGGAGTGCTTGGCAGTGGCGCTGAAGGTGCCCTCACCCACTGCATCCCTGGGATGCGCTACAGCCTCAGCCTGCTGTGTTCTCTGGGATACACTACAGCCCCATCCCAGACCCCACAGCACCCCTGAGACAGGCCACAGGTCCAACCTGACACACCACTCCTCCCTTTCCTGCTCCATGAAAGGAACTCTAGGGAGAGCCTCCCATCTTATTTTGGGGAGTGCCCGTCAGGACAGGAGCCCCTTTCCTCCTCAGGCAAAGGGGCACAGAAACCATCCTGCCCCTGGCACCAGCTGCCACAGGCCTGCCCATGGACACCAGGCAACGTGGGGAGGAGGGTGCACGGCCTGGGCTGGGATGATGGGTGCTGGGCTAGTGGAGTGTGGGGTGATGTGTGCTGGGAGGAGGCTGTGGGGCAGACTCAGCCAACACACCACCCTCTTCCCTTGGCAATGGGGATGAAAGAAAAGCAGAAAAAAATCCTGTAACTGTCCTGGGCTCATGATTAACAGCATAACACTATGATTCAAAGGAGTCAGAAAATGGTGTTGGGAATTACCAATTTAGTATTAGTTTAGGGATTTTTTTTAACCACGGCTTTGTGCTGTGGAGGAACATTTCTCAAATGTAGAATCAATTCCTGCTCCGCTTATCTAAGAAACTTGGGAAGAAAAAAAAAAAGTCCAAATAACTGGAAACATTTCCTTTCCTTAGCCCTGAGAACATGGCCTCCTCCATCACTGGGTGTGGGGCAGACATGGGTACTGTGGCTGGAAAGTGGCAAGGGATGTCAGGGCAGAAGGATTCTGCCCCAGACTGTCTCTCCCTGAGCATCCTGTTCTGTTCCTGCAGGGTTTTGCCATGGGAGGTCTCTGCTCGGGAGCCACCCAGTCCCGATCACAACACAGCTGTGGAGCATGGATCATCCTCCCTGGGATGCTGAGTGCCTGATGGGGCTGCTCCCACAGACAGGCCCTGAGAGCCCGTGGCTTTACACATTCCATAGGGCAGTGTGGAGAAGAGCTTTTTTAGCTGCCTTTCTGCTGGGTCTGTGCAGCTGGATTGGGCAGCCAAGCCCCACAGAAGGGCTGGGGGTCAGCAGAGACCTGACACAGCCCATGGCATGAAAGTGCACCCACAAACCCTGAAATGTTTCTGCATTCCAGGATATGCTACAGCCCCATCCTGGCCCTAATGCATGCCTGGGACAAGTTACAGAGCAATCTCTGAGACTGAGACATCACTGTGATGGGTTACAGCCCCATCCCTGACACTGCTGCCTCCCTAGGATTCACTACAGCTCCATCCCAGACACAAATGTATCCTTGGGACATGCTACAGCCTCGGCTCTAACACTGCTGCATTCCTGGGAGATGCTACAGGTGCAGAGTGGGAGGAGGCAGCTGAAAACCAGAGCCACTGGCCTGGCGTGGGCATTCCCCATCCCTGTGGGGGAGCGTGTGTGTGAGAGGTGGCAGGTTTGTACATCTGGTTTACTTCTCCTCTCCTTGAAAAAAAGGAATATTTTGTTTTCAGGGAGATGTAACTTAATCAGGTGCTATGGCTGCAAATCGTTTACTGCTTACTTTGAATTCCATTAAAGCCCTGTTTTGCACTCCACTAGTTTTGTTAATTCTGCTAATGGGGAACGTGGATTTTATTTTTTTTTTCGCTAAGTGGAAATGGAAAATATTTTAAGATTATAATAATAAAAATTATGAGAAGTGGACCCAGGACATTTCATCACCAAGACAGTCAGTTGCTCAGGCACAGACATCAAAGCTGGACCTCAAAGGCTTTGGAAAATTGGAAACGCAATAGAAAGTTAGGAAAAGTGATGCAGAAGATGGCAATGTCAGTGAAAAGCCTGGACACACCCAGGGACTGAACCCCAGCAGGGAGGAGGATGGGGAGAGGGGTGGGAAGCCCAGCACCTGAGCATGGCAGCCCTGAACAATGTCCCCCTGTTCCTGAAGCCAGCACCTGCTGCCAGAGGCAGGGCAGGAGGCGGGGAAATGGGGGGAGAAGGGGCTTGGAGGCTGCCTGAGGTGCTGAGGGCCCCTTGGGGAGTGTCCTGCTCAGGGACAGCTGGGGGCTCCTGGGGCAGAGGGATGTAGGCAGAGGGGCATCAGGGAGCAGGCAGGGTGTGGGTAGAAAGGGCCATGGCTGGCAGCCCTGCTTGCAGGACAAGCACACCAGGTTCAGGTAACCCTGGCAGTGCAGCCAGGGCAGCATCACCCCCATCTCTGATCCCACCAGTGAAGGAGCAGCAGGACCCCCTCTGGGTCCCCTGATCCTCCAGTGGCACTGACTCTGGGCAGAGGCAGCTACATTGCATTAAGGATATTTGAGCTAGAAGCCAGAAATCTTAAACCAACAAACCCACAGATAAACTGGATGCAGTTTGAGGCGGACCCACTCCGCTAAAACAGAGTAAACAACACAGCTCTCCGCCAGTGCTGTTTATTTTTGTGCAGCTGAACAGCTCAGACATCATTGTGAGACTGTTCCTATTTATAAAGCACTGGAGGAGAGTCACCTTGATTAACTCTGCTCCACGCAGCACTCTCTGCTGGCAATAAAACTGGCCAAATCCCTCCCTCTGTCCCCCCATTTTTTTCCTTTTCCCAAAGCCTGATGTTCCCAGCGCTCTCCTCACAGCTGGCACGGTGGGCAGGGCAGGCAGGAGCAGAGGTGCTGGTGGTTTGCCCTGTCCCATGCAGCTTCCCCCAGCAGCCATACCATCCCCTCAGCTCAGCATCTTCCCACTGGGCAGGATGTGCACTCCAGGTCTCATCGCTCCCCCTCTGTCACAGTGAGGAGTTAAACCTCTGCCAGATCCAGGCAGGGATGCTCCTCACTGTCCTGAAAACAGCCCCTCTTTTGCAGAGCCTCAAGGGGCAGGGCTGTGAGGGCTTAGCAGTGCCCATAGGTGCTGGGTGGGGTGCCAGGCTGTGCAGAGCTCCCAGGCTCTGCACTACTCCTTGGGGTCCACGTGTGCTAAGCCAGCACTGCTCTGCAAGGAGCTACAGGTTCCTCCTTGTGCATCTCCCCTCTCCATCCCCATCCACACACTTTACTCCTGCCAGAGGAACACAGAATCATTAAGGTTGGAAAAGGCCTCCAAGATCATTGAGTCCAACCTTGAACCAAATACCACCATGCCCACTAAATCACATTGCAAAGGGACACATCTGCTTGCTGTTTGAACACTTTCAGGGATGGTGACTCCACCACTGTCCTGGGCAGCCTGGTTCACTGCCTGACAACCCTTGCAGGGAAGAAATTTTCCCTGATGTCCAACCTGAATCCCCTCTGGCACAATTGAGGCTGTTTCCTCTTGTTCTATGATTTGTTCCCTGGGAGCAGAGCCTGACCTCCCCCTGGCTGACCCCTCCTGTCAGGGAGTTGTAGAGAGAGAAGAGGTCCCCTCTGAGCCTTCTTTTCTCCAACCTGTGCCCCTCCATTTCCTTCAGCTATTCCTCATCAGACTTGTGCTCCAGACTCTTCCCAAGCTCCTTTCCCTTCTCTAGACACACTCCAGCCCCTCAGTGTCTGCCTTGTTGTGAGGGGCCAAAAATTCCATCTCTTCAACACATCTCGTCCCTGGCTCTCTCCCACAGCCAGCGAGTTCATCACGGGGCTGCAGTGGCCATCCTGGAAAACGTTCCCAGCGGGCTGGAGAACACATCCCAGGCACACACCAGCCTGGGAAGAGGCTATTGGCATTTTCCACTGCCAAGGCAAGGTGGTCAGGGTAAGGAGAGCTGGGGAGATGGATACAAACAGAGCACTGGCTCTCCAAGAAAGGAGTAGGCCTCCTTGGGATAGATGTACTCCAAACAGGGGACAGGAAAGTTGCTCATTAAAAATGGGTTGGGGAGCTGCTGTCTTCACCGGAGCATGTGCCACGGCTTGGAGGGGAGGATTGTTTGGGATGTCTATTCCAACACAATGGAATGCAGGGGAAGACCAGGCTCTTGGGGACAGCAGGAAGAGGGGTGGCCCAAGGAAGGAAGAGGCTGCTTCTTTCCCAGCTTCTCCCCCTCCACCTGGCTTGAAATCCCTACCGGGGACAGACCTGGGATGGCTGGGAACAGCGGCACTGCAGTGCTGAGCGGACTGCAGAAGGAAGAGGAGGGAAGGAGGAAAGCCCTGCTACAGCCCTCTTTACCCTGCTGGGTGCATCCTGCAGCACTGGAGGGCTCAGCATGGTGGCACTGGCTCCAGGGGCTGGCACAGCACTGCTTGGTGCCACTGGGATGTGCCCCACGGTAGGAGCTCAGGTCACTTTGTGGGACCTTGGTCCCTGGCCTGGCTGGAAGAAGGACCCTAATCCATCAGCGCAGGTGCATCCATGCACCCACCCAGCAGTGCCCAGCTCCAGCCAAGCCTCTGCAGGAGCAGAAGTGAACCTGCAGCTTATACTGAGATGCCAACCTTCGCACTCCAGTCTGGGGAACCAGGGCAGCTCTTGTGGAGCCCTGAGGACCATGGTAGCAATGCCTCCCTAGCCTGTGCAAGGCCTGCAGTCTGTCAATGGAGCTGTCACCTCTCTCTGGGTGACCACAGCAGTGACACTGGTCCCTCTGTGGTCCAGTTACCCATGATCCCATCACCCTGTACAGCCAGGAAAAGCAGCTCGTACCCAGACCCTTCTCTCCTGCAGACCTGGATGAGCTGAGCACCACGTCACCCATGTCCCAGGGGAGACCTGGCAGCCTGTGCCTCAGCACAGGGGCCCTGCAGCCTGCCTGAGACCTGCCAGACCTCCCCTGCCCCAGCACTCCCAGAGAGCTGGGGTCCTGCAGAGGCCAAGGACACTCAGGAGAAACCTCTTGCACTGCCACTGACAAAAGGAGGTTAAGCAAAGCCAGCTCCCAAGCACCCACTGGTGCCATATGTCACAATCCCTGTCTTAACCTGCTAAGGGTTGGCAAGGCTTTTTCCTGAAAAAGTCCATCAGTCTTAGTCAGTTCCTTTCAAGAAATACACAAGATTTTAAATCTCAGTCACATCTTTCACCAAAACATTTTACCATTAACTTTTCACCAAATGGTTTGGTAGAGCTCAGCCCTCCTCTGTGCTGGGCCAGGGAGAGGGAAGGCGGGATCTGCCCCTAGGTCTCTGGGCAGGGCTGAGGTCATGGACTCGGCCAGGAACATGGAGCACTTACCTGCAGGTGCCTCTGTGCTAGTGACCAGGGAGGTGGGGTTGATGGCAGGAATCTCTGGAAAAGAAAGGGAGAGGTTATCTTAAGGATGAGATCTGCAGCTCTGGGGGTGACAACTGGGCAAAAGCCCTCTGAAAATGGGCCACAAAGAGATTTTGTTGGTTGGTCGCAAATGAGAGATAGCTGATGGGATGAATCTGACCTGACCATTGCAGACCATTGAATAGACCTGGAGATGCACAAACTGAGCTCAGTAAATTAGGCCAAGCTGCAATTCTGCAATCCCCAAGGGCACTAAGCAGTTGTGTGAGGATGTGTGCGCCAGGGATGGATGCTTCCCGGGTGAACTGAGTTTGGACATCAGATGGGTGCTTGGTGGATCTCAGCACACCTCAGGCTGCCCAGCACGGGGATAAATGTGGGGAAAGATAACACTTTCTCAGGACTCTTGGCAGCAAAACGGGGGGGAACTTCTTTCCTAAGCTCAAATTTGGGGAAGAAATGAGAGAGAGGAGCCAGCTCCACCAGTAACCTGCACTGCCACTGCTCCAGCAGCCCAGCAAAAGCTGCAGGGTGGGAAGTTGTCCCTCTGCCACTTGGGTCAAATTCAAACCCACTGTGACAATAAACACAGTTTTATGCTGACTGTAGGCTCTGGCCTTGCCCCAGAAGTGACCACATTCAGGGCTCAGCTGGGTGAGGAGGACACGTGCTGTACCAAGGATGGGATCCAGCAGAGCTGTTTCAGCCACCTGGAAGCACTGACCCAAGGGATCATCCAGAGCCTCCTGCACTGGGGCAGGTGAAGCCCAGGTTACTCCAGAAAGTGATTAGAGAGTCCCACTTGATTGCTTCCTAGAGAACATCCATAAGGACAAACAGCCTCGTGTCTGAGCCTCCCACCCACCACAAACCATCCAAGGTCAGTGGGGGACCAAGGGGCATCCCCTGGTGCCTGTGGGGGTCCCTGAGTGCAGGACAAGGTGTGGGGCACTCACTGATGCAGGGGGCCACTGGCGAGCGGCTCTGCTGGTAGCCCTTGGCACAGCGGTTGCAGGTGAGGCCGGTCACGCCGTCCTTGCATGGGCACTGCCCCGTGGTCTGGTTGCAGGTCTTGCCGGCTGCACCAACTGGGTGGCAGTCACAAGCTGGGTGGGAGAGAGAGAAATGGTTATCTGAGAGGGGAGGCACAACACAAACCCCAAACTGTACCCCAGGTGCAGTCCCAGAACGATGAAGAGGAGGGGGACCCCTCCAGAGCACCACTGGAAATCAGCTGCTGGGGCTGGCACAGCACAGACCCAGCTGGTCCCATGGGTCCGGACCAAGCGTGGCCCCACACGCCGTGATCAGCACAGGCAGAAGGGTGAGTGGACAAAGGGAGTGGCCAGGGTATGGCCTTGCTGGCAGGGATGCTCAGGAGGAACACCTGGAGCCTCTGCAATTCCCACAGGTGTCTGTAGCCACCAGCTCTCATTTAAGATCTTCCCCCCACCTCAACTCCAGGGAGATGTTCCTGGCACAGCAGTAAAAAACATTTTCTCCACTTGCTCCCCTACCTCTGAGCTTTCAAGTCAACTGGAGCTGAACCAACACTGGGTTTTTACACAAACAACAAACCTTGTCTTGGTTTTAGAATGAAGCAGGTTTTCTCAATGTTTCCCAAGCTCATAAGCCTTGATGCCCCTCCTGACTCCTGGACACCCTGGGTAAAGGACAACTGCACACCTTTCTACCATAGTCTCTCTAGGGACAAGCCAGACCTGAGGTGGGTGAAAGCTGTCTTTGCTCTCAGAAGAATGCTCCATCACGTCACACTGGATGATGGACTCACTGAGGGATGTCTACATGGAGAGATGTGGGAAGGAGATGCTTGCTCAGAGGAGGACCTAACCATCTGCTTGCCTGGAGCTGGGCTGGCAGTGAGCTGGAGTAGGTTATCTTGGCTTCCATCAGTGTAAGAGTTGAACGTGATTTCAAAGCAAAACAAAAACATCACCCCCACCCGCCCCCACAGCCCCCTGATGTTACCGTTTCCCTAATTTTCACCAGATGGGACTGGTGGGAGCACCATGGCACTTGAGCCCCTCTCCTACACAGCAGAAACCAGAGCGAACAGCCTCTAATGGGGACCAGATGCTCCATCCTTATCAGATCTTGGCTAGGAGTAGAAGCGGACATCTTTCTGACAGGGATATTTTGGGGGCTCAGCTGTGATAATAAATGGCAGCGAGCAAGGGAGTCTTGGCATGACACAGGGCTGTTGGAAACACAGGGCCTTTCTTGGGCCCCAGTGGTCTGTTCCTGGTGTAAAGTTCATGGACAGACATAAATCTCAGCCCAATCAGGATCCAGTTCATCTAAGCTGATCTCTCTGCATGCGGTGGAAGGCAGATTTCAGTGACTCCGGATGTTTTACCCAGACTGGTAAGTAAGGCAGCTTTGCTCATGTTAAAGTGCACAACCAACCAGAGTCATCAGGGTATGAGCTTGGTCTCTTCCAGACCAATCTCTGCCCACGTGCCCCACCATAGTGGGATTTCCCCCAGTCTCACAAAAACACACAGTTCCTTCCCATTCCCACGGGATGAGTACCCCAGGCAAGAGTGCTTCCCCTGATGGGTCCCGCGGTGCAGCACGGTCCATCCCAGCTGCGGCTGTAGCATCTCCGTCCTTCCTCCTCCTGTGGAGGGGCTGGCTCAGAGAGCCTATCCCAGCCCCAGGGAAGGCAGGCCTGGGGGCACGGTGCAGCTCTGCACTGCTGCCCACACACCGAGCCCTGCTGCTCCCAGCCTCTGCCTGCCAGGATCTGGCCCACGGAGCTTGAATGGCGGATTAAGTCACTAGCTTGGAGCTTAACTCATCAAGCTGTGCTTGCCAGAAAGCATGTCTTGCACCTCATTTTGAGGGTATTTTTGCATCTTGAGGCTTAGCTGCTGCTGCTTCACCAGTTTTCATTGGAGAAAGGCTCACAGTTTACAGCTTTGTTTAAATTACTGAGTTTAATGCACAGCCATCCTTTATTTGACTTTTCAATTAGCACCATTGAATTAATCCTGAAGGTTGCTCTGCCTTTTCCATCCTCCCAGCTTTTCCATCCCACAGGGTCCAGCAGCGATGCTGGCAGTGGGAGGGAAGCACTCCTCGCTCACTGGCCAGTGGCCGAGGGCTCTGCTCAGTTCGACACAATCTGCAGCTGGTAATTTTGTGCCCATTTCAAGGATGCTGCATCCCAGCAGAGGCAAACTGTAGTTGAAGTTGAAGTTGTATATAGTTGAAGAGTTATTTAGTAACACATGCTGGGGTTTGTTTAAATAAGATGTAGTAGTTCCTGGCCTCTGGGTTACTGATTTGCCTCCTGAATATTAACCAAGCCATCTGAAGCCTGGTCTAGTGGAAGGTGTCCCTGCCTGTGGCAGAGGATTGGAACCAGATGATCTTCAAGGTCCCTTGCAACCCAAACCAGTCTGTGATTCTATGAGCATCTGCCTTCATTGCGATGCCCAGCCTCTGCCCTGGGCCAGCGCTGTGCCAGGTGCAAAAGCCTTTGTTCAAATCCACAGCACACCGTTCCCATCCACCTCCTCCATGCCTGCTCTCAACATCACTGAGACAATCCTCACCTTGCCTTTTTCCTGCAGGAGTGTAGATACCTGTGCTGCAGGTATGGGACATATCTTTGGAAAAAACAAATCCAAATTGTCTTGTCACACTTGTATGTATTTATATGCCTCTCTGGGAGCACCAGCTCTCCATTGCCAGCACCTGGGACCTTGCTCTTCTTCTAAGGAGCTCCCAATCCCAGCAGATCCACCTCCGCATAAGGGAGGGGTGGAAATGCTTTCTGCTTTACTGAAGGAGGGGCAGCCAAAGAAGCAGAAGCATCGGGGATTTTATTAACTCTGTTCTCCAAGAGACAGCAAGGAACTGTCTCCCCAGACCCAGGATACCACCTTTGCTGCCAGGTCCTCCTCAACATATGCACCATGGCAGGGGCCAGCCCTGTGCACATGTTCATCTGGCTTGGCTGAGCTTTGCAGGCCTTCCAAACCACAGGCAAACCCTGCCAGCCCTCCAGAAGCACATCCTCCGCCCAGCCTGGCAGAGGCTGTGCCCGTGGCTTGGCACAGGGAAAGAGGTTTGTCTGCCAGGGGGCACCTGTCCCACTCCTCTGCTCCTCCACAGCCCAGACACTGCTGGCTGCCATTTCTCCTGTACTGCAGCATCTGCACTCACCCCATCCCATCAAATCCTGGGATGCTTTGCCCACCCTGTCCCCTCCAGAGGAGCCACCTTGGATCAGATATACTTTCCATCATTGTAATGCTCACAATTACTGCCCTGTGAAGGTAGTGGAGCAAGACTCACAAACCAGCCAGGCACCCTCTGCCTCCCCCATTCCCTGCATGGAGAAGGGCTTGAGCCATAGCCAGGTAGGAAACACTGCACCTGCAGCTGCCCTGCTCCCACAAACCATGGTATATTCGGTAATCCTCCCTGGTCCCAGCCATATCCAGCTTGCTTTATTAGGTTTTGGCATTTTTTCTATTGTTGCTCTTTGCTAAGTGCTCTCTTTCTCATCTGGAGCAAAAACTGAGCTACTCAATGCCCAGGGAATGGGAATTGAGTGCTGGGGGCCCTGGAGAGGTGAATGCCTGCAGGGCATCCACTTTGCTTGGCATTGTATCAGTTTTGGAGCAAAAGTAGAAGGAGCCAGTCAGAGAATTACAGACTATCCCAAGCTAGAAGGGACCAAATATGATCATTGAATCCAGCTCCTGTCCCTGCACAGACACCCCAACAATCCCACCCTGGGCATCCCTGGCAGCGCTGTCCAAGCACTCCTGCAGCTCTGGCAGCCTCGGGGCTGTGCCCATTCCCTGGGGAGCCTGGGCAGTGCCAGCACCTCTGGGGGAAGAACCTTTCCTGATCTCCAGCCTAAACCTCCCTAATCCAAAGAAAAAGAGAAACTGTTCCCTGGGGAGGGCTGGGAGGTGAGATGCTGCCTCCAGCAGATGAAGGGTGAGGTGGAGGCAGCACAGCCACCCCGGTGCCTCTCAAGAGTTGGGGGAGAGACGGGGCTGCCTACCAACCCTCAGCACTTGACAGAATCCTCATGGAAAAGATAATTTTTCTACAGCTGCCCCAGTTTGGTTGTGCTGCAGCAGGAGCTGGGGGCTGCTGCCATCCATCCCTGGCCTCAGCAGAGCCAGCACCCCTCCTGGGAATGGGACACACTCTGGGACGCTGTGCCATAGACCACCAGGATGCATGCCTTGTCCTGCCTCCTCCTCTTCCTCTCTCCCAGTGTCTCCCGTGTGTCACCCTGAGGATGCTGGCCCCTGGCACAGCTTGGGACCTGGCTGACACCTGACACAATCTTCATCAATGGTGTGGTGCCATGGGTTGCCATGCCCACAGCCACAACTGTGGCATGGCTTGGCCAAGGCCACAGGGTGGAAACCGCTTGTGGTCCCTGGGAACACGGGCTGTGAGGGCGATGTGTCAAGTCAGCTGCTTGGGTTGTTGAAAATTATTAGCTCAGTTTGCTAATGAGCCGGCTGCAGGTAGGGCTCCTCCTGCCAGTGCCCTCTCAGCCCTGCTCCCGCTGTGACACCGCACAAATGTGGGAAGTTTCTCCCTTCACTCCATCCTCTCATGCATTCCTGGCAGTAGCAAGGATGAGAAGAGGCACTGGCACAGACCAGGCAATGGAGGGATTTCCTTTATTATATCCCAGCCTGAATGAGCCAGACCTCCAACAGCACTAATGCACTTAACAGGGGAACCCCAAAAGTCAAATCCTTCAATTTGGGTCCACGCCCACAATGTTAGTGGTCCAAAACCAGCTCTAGTAATTCCTGAAGGCCCTACATAAACACATGAGCATCGTGTTCTTGCAGCAGTGAAGGGGCCTGGTGCCCCTGCAGCTGCAAAATGCAATCTGAGAGGGACACTGTACTCCCTTCCAGGGGGGACTCACAATCAAAGACAGAAAAACAAGGATCAGGGATGACTTCTCAGCCTCTGAACAGCCATGGGTGACTTTCTGCCCACCCATTTCTGTTCCAGTCTGGATCTCAACAGTCCTTGGGGACAGGCAGGGTGTTTTCTTATCTCAAATTCTTTGGTGAAACTATTGCTTTGAAAAGGCTCCATAGACAGGCTGAGCAGGGAGAGGGAAGAGGAACCAGACAGGCTTGGCCAGGAGTTAAGAGGAGGGAGAGGAGAGGTACAGGTCCCATGATGTTTGGCACAGGCTAGGGACCTTGAGAGGTCAAACTGCAGTTTGATGGTTTGGAGCCATTGTGGCTCCTGGCCAGCTCAAGGCCGGTTACCAGGAGCCACGGCGTTCGGCGTCTCCCCAAAAACAGATCCCAAGAGCCATCCCACAGCTGAAAAACACAATGTGGGGTCCAGCCGCACAGTCCACCTGGGAGATGTGACTTTCACCAGCATCCCCAGCCCTCCAGAGCCGGGAAACCATACTCCAAGCATGTCTATATCCCAGACAATGTCCATATCAGAGACAGGTTTTCAGCACATTTAGTCATGTCTGCTTCAGCACCTCCCCAGCATCTCTCCAAATACTGACCAATGGAGATAGCAACTGCAAACACACCAGAACCCTCCCAGGCTCCTGGCAACCTGCTCTCTCCCTTCCTATAATCCTCCTCCACCTCGAGTTGATACCAAGCTCAAAGTGCAATTCCTGCCTGATGCCCTTGGGGTGGTAGAGGAGACCAGGGAGGTGGTGGCTGGAGCTGACCTGCAGCTGCCAAAGTGAGCAGAAGGACACCCCAAGGATGGGAAGGGAGAGCAAGGAGAGCAAGAGAGATTCAGTCACTCATCTGCACCCACGGAGCCCCTCCAGCTTACCCTTGCAGGCTTTGCGGTCAGTGATGGCCTTGCTGAGGTCGCGGTAGAAGCCCTCCTTGCAGTAGTGGCAGTGCCTGCCCGCCGTGTTGTGCCGGCAGTTGAGGCACACGCCGCCGCTCTTGCGCCCCGACAGCTTGAACAGCTCCATGTTGAAGCGGCAGCGCCGCGCGTGCAGGTTGCAGTTGCAGGCTGTGAGGGAAGGGGAGAGGATGAGGGCTGAAGGTGAAATTCGGGACCCTCTGGGTGGGCTGGAACTGCCCATGTGTCCCCCACTGCAGTGAGAGGCTGTGCTGGGACTGGGAGGGACACAGCACAGCACAGGCTGTCCCAGCGTGCCTTCCAGATGTGCAGCATCCGCCACCCTGTGGGGCTGCTGCCGTGAGGTCAGGACAGAGGAGGAAGGACACGTGTAGGAACTGGCACCGCTCGGCTGACGGCAAGCAAGTGTGGGATGGAGGGCTGCAGCTAGGCAGTTTGGCAGTGCCAGCTGGGCACTTGCAGCTCCATGGTCCCCCCTGCCCGTTCCCTGGCAGCCCACCCGGCCTTCCAGAAAGACCACCCACCTCATGCCAGGCTGTGTGACAGCCCTCCCCTGCAACCGAGCCCCCAGCTCTTTATATTTATGGCTCTATCTTGTATGCACGAGCCACACAGAGAGAAACCCATGCAGCAGCCCCTGTGTGCTCACGTCCCTGTGTGTGCATGCACAAACATGCACAAGCACACAAACATACCCATGAACATATGTGCACACAGACGTGCACCAAAATACCCCCAGAGCTGTACATGTGCCCACAGGCAGGCACGCACAGATGTGCACAGAAACATCTGCACACCCTTACATGTGGATGCAGAAATTAGCCCCAGGAAGCACACAGCCCTCCTGGGCGATTCCATGTGTGTGAGATAAAAAGGCAAAGCACTGCCTATTCCAACTTAACACTCTCACAAAAAGATAATGGGAACAAGATTTCCTTCGGCAAAACGTGGCACCCTGCTCCCCCAGCCCTGGCCCCCTCCCCGTGCTGGTAAACGGAGGCTGGGTGAGAGCTTTTCCAGGCTTACTGTGAAATTCATTAATGTGTCGGCCCAGATTTAACTGCCTGGGCCTGGCCTGGCGGCCGTGTGAAGTTGCCTCCCCGCAGCCGGCGGAGCTTCACCCCGCACAGATCAAACACCACCTGGCCTGCCCCGGTGCTCTGGCCACGGGCACGCTGCAGGGAGAAAGAGTAAACCCCAACTGCAAAAAAGAGTTTTTTGGAGGCTTGAGTAAAGCAGAAGGTTAGTGCCAGCACACTCAAACCTTGGCTGCCCCCAGAGCTCCCCTGAGTTATGAGATTAGTGAGAAATCACATGGCAGGCATCAAAATAACACCAGTGTGGCTGTAGGTACCTTCAGGGACTTGTTCCTTTTGACCTATTTTCTTTTTTCCTGGTGACAGTGGAAAATAGGGATTTTTAAGGCAAATTCTGGGTTGTGGTGTGCGGTGGGAAAGCAGCAAATACTGCCCAAGGCCCCGGGTAGCACAGGATGATGTTGAACAGGGGATGCTGACATTCAAACAGTCTTTGCCAGGGCTGGAAGAGACACAGTAAAGTATCCTGACAGCCAGGGTGCTCCTACAGTCTCCAGATAATGGGACAGAGACAAGACAAGGTGTTTTTTGCTACAGAACTGTGGCAAAGGAGCAATTTTTTGGGAGGAGAGGGGCCTTGTTTTCCCCTTGCAGCACTGAAAGGCAAGAGAGGTCATCCCAAAAGGCAGTTCTGAGTCCCTGTTGGAATGCCCCCACCATCCTCTGGGGAAGGAGAAAGGCTGGCAGCCCAGAGGGAAGGCAATGGGCAGTGGAGGAGGACTGCTGGGTAAATGATTTACTGCCCTCAGCGCAGGTTCCTCTCTGCCTCCAGTTTAATTGGTGACAGAGTAACTGGCAGGGCCTTCTCCTGGCATCATTGACCCTGGCACATCCTGATCTAGCCCAGGGCCACTTTTCCCTTGGAACAAGCTGCAGATCCTCTGATCATCCCATGAGCTAGGTTTGGGGAAGAAACCTCCCCTGGTAGCCCAGCATTATCCCCTCTCCTTCAGGCTGCCGCTCTGGGCCGGTGTTGGCAGCTGCCATGCTGGGATTCCAGAGCCAACAGGGGGACCTGGCTGGGCTTGGCCACCCTGGCTTGGGTGGCTGTCCCCACTCAGGGCTGTCAGGGTCACACCAGCACGTATGGCAATCCCCTCACCCCCTGGCGCAGCCACCCGGAGCTAATCAGGGCAGACAGGTCCCCCTCTTACCCAGCTAAATACTCTCACTGTTCCTCAGTACTGAGGCAGTTGTAAGCTCTGTCTGTCTCCCGTTAATCACTAATTAAGGGCTTGAATGTTCCCTGCTGTTTGGGGTATTAATAAGAATTTAATTGCGCAGTTTGGGGCTAATTACCCGGTAGCACACTTCCACCCTCGTACAGTATGCCCAATTAAACAATCATATGATCAATTAAACAATCACAAGATCTAATAATTTGCAATAATAGACTAATTAAACACTGACACCTTGCAATGGAGCAATCTTTTGTCTTCCTTTTGATGGTGTTTGAACCCCTTCCCAGGCCTTGGCCACCCCAAAACCTCTCCTCCTCCTCCAGGCTGCTGCAGATGTGGGAGCCTGGAATGACAGACAGCACGAGGCGATTTGGGACAGAGACTCTGGCAGGGGACAGGCAGTGCCACGCACCGAGGCACATGTGGGGCAGGCAGTGGAGCCCGCAGGGCAGGAGCGAGGCTCACCGCCCCTACAAATTCCCTGGGAATAATTAGGGAAGGCAGCCGGATCAGCGAAACCCTAGACCGGCTGCTGCTGCCAACCCGCAGCAGATTTGAGCTACGCCCCTGCTTTGGCTGGAGCAGAGCCTGGCTGGGACACAGGGCAGGATGAGGCTGCACCTCTCGGTTCCATGGCAGCTGAGACCAGAACAGCCTCTTTCCTCTCATCCACACTGCCCCTCCATCCTGGGGGAGGCGTTGGAGGAGAAGGGCTCACTCTGCTCCTGCCACGAAGCACCAGGAATCAGGAGAAACCCCCAAGGGGCTGTGAAAGACAAGACTCAGGCATTCCAGCCCCATCCTGGGAGGAGCAGGACTCAGGGTGGTCAGACAAGTGCAAATCTCTGCCGGGGTGGCTGCCTTCCCCTGCTCCAGATCCGCTGCGACTCGGGGTGGGTGTCCAGGCAGGGGTGGCAGGGGCATGCTGTCCGCCTGCCCTCACCCCAAAGCCAGTCACCTTCCCCCTCCTCTCCCCAGGAACGGACCACGGCTGGTGCTGCTGGGATCCCACTGGTTTCCAGCACGTCTGCTGGGGAGTAGGTGCAGAGAACCCTGTCAGGGGAACTCCCAATGGAAGGGAAAATGTACAGGAAGGGGCACAGGGGACAAGGGAATTACATGTGATCCTCCAAATCCCACCACTGCTACGGAGACTGGTGTTTTCAGGCACCGACATCCCGGGTGGAACAGCACATCCCCCCGAGCAGCCCGCGAGGTTTTCCCAGGAGAGCGCCGCCCCTTCCCCGCCGAGGCCCCGGATCAAAGCAAGACCCGTGCATTATCCCGGTGCTCCGGAGAGTGCTCCTGCCGCGGCGGCCACAAAGGGAACAAGGGCTCCCGCATCACCAGCGAGTGCATCAATTACTTCCAGTGACTGCCTTGTGCTAATCCGCTTCCCCTCCTTCCCCGGGCCGGGTGTTTGGGGCCGGGCTGCTCCCGGCAGCAGTGGGTGCAGGCTGAAACCGGCAGCAGTGGTGGGGAGGCGGAGGTGTAAGTCTGCAGAGATAAAGATGGGGGGTCCCCAGGATCCTGGCAATTCTGCTCCTGCCATCCCCTCTGCTGGGATTATCCTTCGCACAGCCGTCTCAGGCTAAAAGCTGGGGGGATACATTGGTGAGGACACGTCCCTCTTCCCTGCCCTGGACACACAGAGCGTCCCAACACTGGCAGGGCAAGCTCCCTGCGGGACACGCACCCCTGCGGGGTGTCAGGAGAGCCTCCGGTGCCTGCGGGCCGATGATCTCCAACCACCGGGCACCGGGTGTGCGCTCTGCGGCACAAAGCTGGCACAGGGCCCTCTTGCCAAGTCAGCAGCTCGGCAAATCCACTGCCACTGTCCTGGCTGCGACAGCCCCAAACCTTCCTGCTCGCCAAACTCATGCTGACCCACTCAACACTGCAGCACAGCGATGTCCCCACGAACGCCACAGCCACCCCACAGCAGCCGTGGTGGGGTTGTGCCGTGCGCCAGTGTTCAGACCTCAGGCAGTACTTGCCTATTTCACCTGTGCATTTCCCCGAGGCACAAATTCTAGTGAAACAACAAATGTTTGTCCTCACCTCCAGCTGAATGGATGCATGTCCCAGCACCGTGCCATGCTGTAGGACATCAGTTTGTCCCCGTGCTGGAGCAGCCAGAGACTCCCACGCACCGGACTGAGGAAAACCCCTATGCATAGTGCTGGGGTGAGCACAGAGCCAAGAGCTAACACATCCCAACATGACCTGAAGCTGTACCAACCCCGTGGATCCATTCTCACCCCCTTTCTGGGCACTGCGATCCCCCACCCTGGCCCTGGGCTGTCACTGAGCTGCCAAGCCCCTGCATCCACCCACTCTCCTCCTCTTCCTCCCCACTCCCCAGCCACGTCTGACATCCACCACCACGAGTCAGCATCAGCGCTGTCTGACCACAGGACAGAGTCCGAAACTCCGCAGCCCCCAGGCTGAGCAAAGGGAACTTCCCGGGCAGCCTCTCCTTTTAATTGGTGCTAATTGCTGCGTCTGTTCGTGCTGGCTGGGGAGATGTCATTGTTGAAAGGCACAGAGGGGAAGGCTCGGGAAGCTAATCCAGCTTTCAGCCGCTAAGCCATTCGAAGGCGGGGGTGATGGAGAAGCTCTTTCAGGTCCCTTCATAGAGGGCACAAAGCCCGAGAGAGGGAAGGGAGAAAGAAGGGGAGCGAATCAACAGGAAAAAACTACTTTCACACGCAGCTCGGGGAAGGGTCTTTGTGTGCGGGGCTGTCGGGGGTGGGGGGTTGAAGGGATGGCGCTGCGGCCCCGCCTCCTCTTCCCTCTCTCGTTTATCTTTTCAGCTTCATCTGCCAAAAGGGTGACGCAGCTGGGGACTGGATGCTCAGAGCGAGAGACCCTCACCCCGCCCTGGACGAGATGGATAGAAAACCTGCAGATGCTACCCAAAAATGAGCCTCCTCTGGTTTAACCCCTTTTGTGCCAGCAGAGCCACCTCCACCTCTAACGCGCTGCTTTACTGGAGGATGTAGCAGTGAGGCAGGTGCAGAGTGGGGAGTACAAGGGGGCAGCCAGTAGGGTGAGGTCCTCCTTGTGTCCTGGGGGGTTTCCATGGGCTCATGCACCTGCTGAAGGCCTCCCCTGCCTGACCTGCAGCAGCCCCGGGAGGGTGCAAAGTGGAGGGTTTTTTCTGAACTCCAAAACTGATCTTTCTGAAACAAGTGGAAAAACACAAGGGCTGACACATTCCCACAGGGCATGAGGTGGCTTAAAGCATCAGCTCCAGCACTTGCTTTGAATCCACTGCCTTTTTAGCCATTCTTAGAAGAAATCTGCTGTAACATGTATATATTGAAGCGGACAGCTGGGTTCTCAACAAGACATCTATCACAAATACTAACAAGTCCTTCTGACCTCTGGCACATCCACTGAGCCTTTCAGAGGCTGATTAATGGTACAGCTCTCCCTTGTCTCCATCTTCCCACCACCCCCTGAGACCTGGGCTCCTGTCCAGGAGGAGCAAAAGGCTCTTCCTCCCTCTTCCAGACATTCACGGGGCTCTGGCATTCCCCAGCTCCATCCCAAAGCAAGACAAAAAGCAAAAGTCTCCACCAAAATCCCATAAAGATTCATGAGCAGGAGAGCCAACTAATACCAGTTTGCTGTTTTGGAAATGTTTCATTTTGTGACAAAATTTTTAACTTAGGGAAACCTTTGCAAGGACAGACAAGCTAAAACCACCACACAGACTGAAGAAATTTCAAACTGGGAACTTCAACCTCTGCCAGGTTTTTCTGTCTGCTCCCTGTCCCCAAGCACATCTCACAAGGAACTGCTGCAATTGCCCCTCTGGTCCGTGGACAGCTAGTTTGCTGCCCAAGGGAGACAATCCCACGGGGGCATCCCACACTGAGGTCCCACACTGACTGGCTGGAAGACACCAGTGATTTTTGGAAGGGTTTTGGTGCTTTGGCTCATGGTGGAATCACTGTGTCTCTTACAGAAAAACTGCAGCAGAGACAAGGAAGATGGTTGAGCCTTTCCCAATCCCGCAGCACAGGGAGATGCTCCCCAGCATCTCTGGACAAGCACTCTCCATTGCTTTGGCTCAGCACCCATCGCTTCCTACTCTCATGATCTGCTTTAGCATTTCAGCCCCAGAAAACAAAAATGTTTAAAAATGCCTTACCCAGACACTCGTTTGCCTCACGGGCACTGGCGCGCTGCCAGGGCCGGTCGTAGTGGAAAGGCTTGCAGCGGTCGCACTCAGGCCCCTCTGTGTTGTGCTTGCAGTCACACACCAGCTTCTGCTCCTTGTCCTTAACGCAGCGTGCCGCGTGCCCGTTGCACTTGCAGCGCCCGCCAACCTGCAGCTCCCCCACCGCATAGTAGTAGGGGGTGGAGCCCGTGGCCCCCTCCTCCTCAGCGGCATCCCAGCTGCCCAGGTCACGGAAGAGATGCGGGCGGCTGAAGACCACGCGGATGTCCGTGGCTGTCACCCAGTCCTGGAGCACGGGGCTGCTGTCAAAGTCCTGGGCCGAGGGTCGCCCGTCGAGGGTGCTGAAGGCGATGAGCCCCCCGGTGAGCGGGTAGAGGTCGGTGAGGCCATCGGTGCACAGGGCCTCCTGCTCGTTCTGCTTGGTGACCGTGGCTTTGCTGGGCTTGCCGTAGATCTTACGGCACTGGGAGGAGTAGTACTGGTAGGGCACCCAGGTCTTGCCGTAGTCCATGGACTTGAGGATGGCGGTGGACTCGGGCCGGGGCGAGCAGAACTGAAGGCTGACGTAGACCACCTCAAACTTCTTGCCAAGGGAGAGAGTGAGGGTGACGTTCTGGGGTGAGTGGTGGAGGGTTTCCGAGCGCCAACAGGTCATGTTGGAGGCGGTGTTGAGGTCGGTCAGGTAGGCGGGTGGGTGGGCTCGGCGGGGGTCCGAGGCGTTGCAGTGCCGTGTCGGCGGCTTCCCACACGTGCTGGAAGCTTGAACCTCCTTCCCAAAGGCAGCGTTGACAAATTCAGGGATGCAGCGTCGAGGAGCACCACTCTCATCATAGCAAGGGTCTGGGGGGGTCTGCTGGGCCACAAAGGGATTCACTGTCTGGGACAGGCCCAGCATGGCAGTGGTGAGGAGCAGGCGCAGGAGCTGCAGGACCTCCATCCTTCTGGGGAAAGGGAAGTGGCTCCTCCCTGAAGGAAGAACAACAAGAGCGAGTGGTACTAGCAGTGTCATGGACACAGCACCACACGTATTGGGAAGGCTGGTAACGGATGGAAAACTCCCCCATGTCCGGTCCATTACCTGTACCCATCTTTCCACCCTGTATCCACTGCTGCAGTATCCTGGGAGTGGGGCAGGGAGGCAATTACTTCAATAATTGGTGTGCTGCCTCATCCACACCAATCCGTCACTGCTCATCGGTGGGACTGAAATACAAACTGAAATACTCTTACAAACTGCCCTGTGGTGACAGGAATGTTCCTGTCTGCCAGCAGCCCTGGATGTCACACACAGTTCAAAGGCCCTGTTACTGAATGGCTGACAAGGGCTGGTGGTGAGGAAGAGTTAGGGGAGATCTTTCAGATGCAACAGCAGCTGCACCAAATTATCCACCTGCAGCACAAAATAGCTCCTGACAGAGCAGGAGAAACAGACAGCAGCAAAAACACCTTGAAGGCACATTGTGCAAGAGACAGGAGCTCATTGGGATGAAGACCTGGGGTTCTTGAACACACCACTACTTTCTTTGCTGGCTATGGGCACAGTGGCTTCTCCAAGCAAGGAGCTGGATCCCCTCCATATTCCTCTGCCACATTACCCAGCAGCAAAGGAAGTTATTCTGGCCTCACCCCCAAGAAATCCAGGTCTGGGTCTGGTATGTTTGTTGACTGAGGGAAAAGCCAGGACCAAATGCAGGGCTTTGCTAGGCCCCTCTCTCAGCAGCTGCAGCACAGGGCCAGGGACTTTTAGTGGCTCCCAAGGGATGTGGCCCATCTCCTGAGTTATTGGCTTGAAGAGTGGAAGAGGTCTGGAGGTCACATTCCCTCCTGCTGCCTCTGAATGCATGAAGCACCTCTCACACAAGGCAGATTGGCCACGTCCCATTCTTGCTGTAGCAGACCTCTGAGCCCCCTGGATGGGTGGGTGGCATCAGCCCTGCCATCCCATGGGTTGTGCTGAGCCAAAGCCCAGTTGTCCAGCCTCAACCAGGCCAATGCCACAACCAGACAGGAGGAGGCCATCCCCTAATTGTCCCCCCTTCCACCAGTAAATCTTTACAGGATGACTTGTGTTTCTCTCTGAGGAATGAAAGCCTGTATGACCTAGCCCAGCATCCCCAGCTCCAGCCTCCACCTACAGCCCCAGTGCCACTCCTGCCTGTCCAGCTGCCCACTCTGGCCAAAGGAGGCTCCAAGGAACAGCCCATTTCAATGACCTAGGACCTTCTTTTTGGTTTGTTATTCCATTTTGCAAAGAAAAAGGAGCCATGACTGTGGAAGAAAACAGCCTCCCCAGGCTGCCAAACCACTAATGAGGGAAAGCTCCTCCCTGCCCAGCCACGGTCAGCCCAGCAGCCACGGCCTGTGCATTGCTCCCAAGGGAGCAACAGGGACAGGCATCTCAGCCCATCCTGGGATATCTCCTCCAAGGCAAAACCTGCCCCTGCCACTTCCGTGCTGTTTCCTCATTGCTTAATCCCCTGCTGATGGAAAAAGAGATGTGAAAAATTGGTAGCTCCCTTGGTGGTCCCTGCATCACCACAGCAGCACAGTTCCAGCTTTACCGCAATGCTGCAGAGCCTTCTGGGGACATGTCAGCCCATGGCTTGGTGACTTGGCTGCCAGCAAGACAAAAGATACTGTCCCTGGAGTGCCCAGAGCATTGAGAACGCACTACTTGAGGAGTGTGGCTGCAAGATTAGAGACTGCAGGGATGTAGCTGTTGCCACAGCAGAGGAGGTACCATACCACAGGCACCAGGCAGAGAAGAGCATTCCCCACAGGCAGGCAACCTACAAGGCCCCACTGGGACTCCTGGCCCCACTGCAGGCAGCTGCCTCCTAGGCAGGAGATGAAGCTATGGCTGCTGCCAGATCCCTGCATCTGCTTGTTGACCAAAGGCTGCAGCTGGTGAAACCCCCAACACAATCCTGACAGGATGATCCCCTGCTGCTGAGCAGCACACAGTGGGCACAAGCCCCTGCCAGCCCACTGGTAGAGCCCTGCTCCTGTATTCTCACCCAGTAGAGGGGCTGCAAGGTGCTGATGGATCCCCCTCAACACCTGGCAAGACCCAGCCATGTACTTGCAGAAGCCAACACAGCACCTTCGGCCCTCTGGTGCTGCCAGCCCTCTCCCCCCACTGTCCCCCTCCAACTGCATGTCTCACAGAGGGCACACTGTCAGGTGCTGCAGCTGTCACCTCCCATCCCATCACCCACAGGGCAGCACTAGCAGAGATACAAACCCATGGGAAAACCTCAGCACCTCCTCTACAGGAGGGGAGAGAAGAAACCTCCCAGGGGTCCTCAGCAGCTGCATCCATCAGCTCCAGGAAGAATCAGGATGTATGGAACAAGGAATCTACTAAATCCCATCATCAAAGAGCCTCCTCCACCTCCTCTCTGCTATGTGGCAGCAAGGTGACTGGAGTAGGGACATGCTCAAGCAAAGGCCTTTTAATTTCCTCTCTAGTAAGACACAAAGGTGTGGGGAAACCCTTGCTCAGGGGAAAGTGACAGCAGCAACATCTCTGGTAGCCAGGGGAGAGGCCACAGGCAAAGTTGTTACGAGCAGCAGGTCTAGGACCCAGGACTAGGTTACTACTGATTTTGGCATGCATGGGGGCATGAGCATCTCTTGCGCATCCTCCCTGCCCCAGTGGGGAGCTTTGTCCAGTCTTACCAAAGCACAAGTCCCTGAGGTTCAGTGTCAAAGTTTTGGTGGCTTTGCTGCCGGGGAGCAGCCACTGGGGAGCCAACAGTCACTCAGCAGCACATCAGCACTGCAGAGGCAGGGCAGGAGTGGAAATCATTATCATCCGCAGGACCACACACAGGCACGCACACTCCGTGCTCAGCTCACCCCATTATCCCACTGAAAGAGAGCTGGGGCCAGTGGTCTCCGTGGGCCTCACCTCCGTATTGGAGAGGAGGGCAAGCTGCAATCTGCTCCCTTTTATGCATATTCAGCATGACCCTGGGACTGCCGGCAAGCTGCCAGAGAGGCCTGGGAGTGGGTATTTCTCTCCCTGGTCCCCATCTGCCCCCCCTTTCTACTTCCCATTTTCGCTGCCCCTGGTTCAGATCAAATGGAGACACTGCTGACTAAGCAGAAAGAATTGGGATGACCCCTAGGTGCCAAATCCAGCCCAGCACGTTCCCGGATCTGGCATCAGGAGTGACACGAGCAATGGAGCCCCCTTCCCCAGGACAGGATCCCAAAGGTGCCCCCAGCAAGGCTCCCGGGCGGCTGGCAGCTCCCTGGCACCAGCAGCAGCCGTGGCCGGCAGCAGGGCTCACCCTTCCCGAGGAAGCGGCCACCCTCCCAGCTCCTCCCCAGAAGCGGCTGCATTTTTGAGGTGTGCGATTTCCTCACTCCTCCACCCCCGGAATGCTGAGAGCCGTGCGGCTTGGAAGGAAGTCATGCTGCCGGAGCACTTCAGAAGTGCTTAAAAAAAAAATTAGCTTCCACATCCAACACCTCCACACCCCTTCTCTCTACAAGCACACGCTTCCCAGAGTGACCAGCAGTGTTTCCCTGCCTTGTTGGAGACTTGTCAGGGCGATGCTCCAGCCTACCATGGGCTTCTTTTCCATCATCTCTGCGGGAGGCAGCGCCACTGAGGGTGATGCTGGGTGCAGATGCATGCCTGCAGCTCCAGGTCTCCCGATGCTGAGCCATGGGGTAGGTGCTTGGCCCCCAAAATAGAACGGGTGAGGCAAGTGTAGCAGGTGAGGCTAGGCAAGGAGAGCAAACTTCCCACAACGTGGATGCTGGTGCCTACAGCAGGCCCAGGATCACCACCTGGCAGAGCAGGGCCACAGCAACTTTGCTAAAGTAATTACAGGATTAGGTGGAACAACACAGGGCAGGGAGGGAAGCAGGTTATTAACCAGACTTGATCCCAGGACCTTTGCAGCACAGGAGTAGCCTTCTCTGATTAAAGTGGAGGGGAAGGCACGAGTGGTGCTCTGCTGTCGGAAAAATGTGGGCTTAGAGGGCAGGTGACAGCTAAAGCTGAGCAGCCAGCACTGCCCTGGAAGGGGATGGGAGAACCCCAAGGAATGACAGGGGAATGGTGCTGCACTCCTGCTAGGGACCTGTGCTGCTCCCCCAGGTTGATGCTCCTGCACCAATGATGCTGCTATGCTGCAGCCCACTGCATTTCTCCTCCAGGCCAGGACAGCATAGCGTGTGGGGGAATTGCATGACTTGAGGAAAAGATATGGCCTCACTTGGAACTGGTTGAGATAGGAATGACTGGTCCCCATGAGGTGATGCATTAGCCTGTGCACAGAGATAAGGTCCTGGGTGCCAGTGTGGGCCAGGGATAGAGCCACCCACCCACACGGGGCACAAACATGCACAGCAAAAGCCATGGATCAGGAGGCAGAGATTCCTGGGCAAGGATCAAAGGACCTGAGTACTTGAGGGGGGTCCAACAACTAAGACTCTTGGGTAAGACTGATCCAGGAGGACTGCACATTCCTGAACTGTGCCATCCCCAGTAAAGCCCACCAGCATCTCAGATGTTCTCTGTGAAGGAAGCCACTGGGAGGACAGGACAGGACCCAAAGTAGAAGAGAAATTATGTGCTCAGAGAAGCTGAAACCAGGCACAAATGGCCAGAGCATATCTCTTAACCAGGGTGTATCTGCTCCTACAACCTGCATATTTCCTCCTTGTTACAGGCCCTCTGTAATGAGGGCATCTGGACTCCCTTGCCACATGTGCTGTGTGAGCAACCCAATGCAGCTCTGCCCCAGCCCATGAACAAGATCCATCCTGGGGGGCTGCCAGGGTCCCTGGATACCCAGGTCCCTCTCTCACCATGCTGACGCCAGCTTGGGGAAGCTTAACTCCTCCAGCCAACAAACAGAATCAGGCCCAAACTCTGCTCTGGCTGTGGATAAATCATTCCATGTGTTTCTGGGATATAAAAACACAACTGAGAAGTATTTAAAGTGAAAGGAAAAACTCCATGGAGCCAAGGTACTGGTCCAGCTCAGCTTTCCAGAGGGAGTGAGTGTGCGCTGGGAGAAGCTAGAGAGATGCAGTGTGGCCGGGAGTGCTAATCGCCTTCCCAGCCACTAATGGAGCAACTGGTGCCCACTTGGGACACGGTTAATGGCACAAAGGAGATGCCTCACTTTCTTTTATAAGCTCCCTGATCTCTCCTGATATTTAAGTATCAGAAGCTTCCGAGTGCTTATGGCCGCACATCTGCAGGGCTGCCCACTCTGTGCAGCTCCTCGGACTCAGCCCCCTGCACACACAGCTCAGGGGGGCAATTACACAGCAGCATCTTCCTGCAGCAGGCACTGCAGGTGATGGATATTGCAATGCACTCTTGGCAGGTCAGAGCCAGAATTACACAAGCCATACGATACCCTGGCGGTGCCAGGAGACGTGTACAAATTACACTGCACACAGGAAAGGATGGGCCAGATTCTGACCTCAGTGCTTTGGCATCAGCCCGAAGTAACTCCATTCACATCTGGCCAAACCAAGACGTAAGCAACTCCATTCAAATTTACACTGGCATACCTGTGGTCAGGATCTAGCCTGGCTTGAATTAGTTGCAGCCTGATGTTACAAAAGGCAGCAGAGCCCAGATTTCCAAGGTTATCGAAAACAATTAAAAGAAAAAGAAATTCACCATAAAACAGTCCCCAGGCTGCTCAGCTATATGCATGGAGCTGTCAAATGCAGGACACTAGGACACATCCCTTCTCACCAGTTTCAGTAACTCATAAGCCATGCTGACCACAGGAAGGAAGGACCAACACCCAGCATCCCCCATGCCCACTCTGCTCTCCACTCGCCCTGGGTAGAGGAGACTTCAGCATAGTATCACCCATATGATGCAGACCTGAATTCATTTTGCTGCAAAGCTCTTGTATCGCCCAGCTAGTGCAAGCTGGAGATCTCCTCTGAAGTTCCCAGTGCAACAGCAGCTCAAGGAGACATTTGGAGCTCTTGACCTTGCAGGACAAGCAAGCAATGCCCAGATGCATTTGGACTCAATGGTCCTTGTGGGTCCGTTCCAACTCAGGGTGTTCTATGTTTTTTTTCTACCTCATTTATTAACCTCTACTGCATCTTGGCCAGTTTATTTTTTTTACGCAACTCTAACCCCACCGCAGTCTCCCAAACTCCTTTGCACATTCCTACCACCATGTTTGGCTCTACTTAGTGGTCTCAAAAGCATCCCTCAAGGTGCAGAGGGTTTTCCTCCCACTACTCCCAGTGGATGTCAGAGACTCAGAGCTCCAGTCTATAAGCCCTCATTGCTTCCACCCCTTTCCACTCCTTATGAGAATAAAGTGATCCAGTTTCCATAACATCCCTCATTGAGTTTTCACAACATGCCGGGCACAGATGTTGAAAATAGTCTGGATGAATATTTAAAATGGTATTTAGAAATGACAACATTTGGCCAGCTTTGAAAGAGCTCTCACATCAGGCAGAGGATGGCTCACAACAACGGGCTGGAAACACACTGCACTTTGACATCTTTTTTTTTTACCCCCTCTCTGGCTACTGGTACAATATTTCATGCCCCTGGTGTCCCACAGTCTGTTATTGCTTGAGTGCCAGCCAAGCCTACAGCATTAGGAAGAAGCTGTCACGTACGTTTTTAAACATCATGGGGCGAAGCAGAATATGGAAAATCTGTCACATTTCCATACCGAGCGCAAGTATCCTGCGCAGGCTTGGGGAGAGGCTCAAAGGGACACAGAATAATTGCTTCCTTATGGGGCAGGGCCTGACTAACCAGGGTGGGGGAACAGGAGGCAGAGGTGCTGCCTCAACACCCTCGATATGCTGGGCTGCTTTCCTGCTGAAGATGTCTCAGCACACCCCCCAAGGTGTGCACTAATGCTCACCTCCTTCTTCAGGGCTGAGGAAACCCCCTCTCAGAGTCACACCTCCGCCAGCAGTCAGCCAAGGTGGGACCTCCATTCGGTCCAACCCAGACTGAAGACACCATTGTTCTGATGCTCAGAGAGCGGTGGAAATGCTCCTCAGCCTGGATGCCTAGCAGCTTGCATTTCTGGTGAGCATCTTGCACCCAGCTGCATCCCTAGGCCAGGCTTCTCTCTTCCACAGCCTGCAGACACACATCAGCTCCTTCCCAACCTGGCATTACACCTGCCCTCTTCTCTGCAGGGACCTACCCTTCCTTCCACACACAGGTAGAAGAGGAAGGGGTCTTGGGACCTGTTCAGCCCACCCTGCTCTTGGACTGCTGGATCTCCTGTCCTCTCATCAGCCTGCTCCAAACAGGTGTCAGAGCAGCACAGCAGCTCCCTCTGTTTTGTAAGTGGGATACTGCAGAAAAAGAGAAAAAAAAGTTGCCCTCCATCCCTCCAAACACCTTGGAGGCTGCTTTCAGCACACGGCCAAAGCCACATCCCACTCCACTGGTTGCAGAGATCTCTAGCCTCCCCAGGCTCTGAGAGACAGGCAAGAGCAAACTTGGACAGGGAAGAAGGATCTGTGGCATTTCCAAACATGCAGGGCGTACACATCCATGTCTGCATTCAGTATTCTCTCAGCCTGGCTACTGGTCCAACACAAATGCCATGGATGGAGGTGGGGATGCTCAGCCTGGCTTACATTCCATACTTTCATGGGATGAGCTCCCTGATAGAGAAGTATTCATGCCCAAGTGCTGCCTAGATGAGCATCAAGCCAGTGGGACCCAGCACTGCCAGAGCAGCTCGTGCTCCGGCCCACAGGGCCTTCCTCACCCACCCTGCTTGGAGACACAGCAGACTGCCAAGCACCACATCCCCATCACACCAATTAGTCCTCATCCCAAGAAAGGTATTTCCACCCACCCACTCTCCAGCGGGCCAGGGAAGCTGCAGGACGGTATTTTGAGGAAATGAGGTTTCAGCAGCTCCAAGAGAGGAAAGCAAAAGCAAACCCACCAAATGCTTCCCAGCTTCCCTTCCCATGAAGCTGCTCGCTCGCACGTTCCCTGGCCAGAGCTCTCAGCCCAGCTGTGGCTCAAGGGCCAGGTGCTCAGGGTGCTGAGGGTCTCACCCAGCCTGGCTCCAGAACTGCAACGGAACAGAGCATATCCCACGGGAGTGCTTTCCAAAGGCAGCCGACCCAGCCCGCAGGGGAGTCTCTCAGGGCAGCCGTGCTGGGAAGGGACCAGCGATGGGCCCCGGCCCGGGATGGTGACAAGAGCGGTGCTGCCAGCCCCGGTGGCTTTGTGCCGGCGGAGAAGGGCCCGCGGTGGGAGCGGTGGGCAGGGCACCACGTGCAGTGCATGCCCCGTGCCCGTCACCGGGCTGGCACCGCTGCTCGGCCTGGCAGGGCTCCCGCACGGAGCGGGGCCGGGGCTCCGCCGGGCTGCGACACTGCGGGGCTCCCTACAGCGCCGAGAAGCCCCGAGCCGGCTCTGCGGGGCGGCGGCAGCGAGCCGGGCCGAGCCGGGCCAGGCTGAGGAGCGGCGGCGGCCGGAGCTGCCCGGGGACCGGAGCGGCGCTCGGCGGCGGGCGGGCGGCCTCGCTGCGGGGAGGTCCCGTTCTCGTCGGTGAAAGGATGGAAAGGGAAATAAAGGGAGGGTGAGCCCGGGGGGAGAGGGAGGAATAAAAGGCAACGAGGGAGGGAGCGGAGGGGAGGAGAGCGGCAGCCCGGAGCGTCGGGAAGTTGGAGCGCAGCTTACCGCGGCCGGGCAGGTAGCGGGGCCGGTCTGGGCGACAGGTCCGGGAGCGGCGGCGAGAGGAGCCGGGGCCGCGGCCAAGCGGACGGCGGGCAGGGGTAGCTCCTTCCCGGTGCTGGCCGCAGCACGAAGAGAGGGAAAAAAGTGAAGAAAACGCTGTATGGGGAGAAAAGCAATGATAACAAATTTCCAGGGAATCGTGCGTGGGGGACGAAATAAGGCGAAACAGTGGAAAGCGGGAGCGCTGCTCCCGGCGGCGCGGGCGGGTCCCAGCGCCGTGCCCGCAGCCGGCCGCACTCCCACCCGCTCCACCGTACCGCCCGCGGCTGCTTCGACTGCGGGAGGGAGGGGGGAGGCGGCAGGGGAGGGCGAAAAGGAGAGGAAAGGGAAAAGAAAAAACACCCCTTAAGAAAAAAACCAAAAACGAAAAGAAAAGCAAGAATTGGAGAAACTGAGCCCCGACCGCCGCCTGGACGTGGAGTAAAAAGACTCCAATAAATCCCGGGTTGAAAAGAAGGGAAAAGTCACCTCCCCGAGGAAATCAGAAGCAGATTTCGAGCCATTTAATCACATGCAGGGAGGTGTGTGCGTGTGCGCCGCCCGCCGCCGCTGCCAGCCCTGCCTCCGCCCTCCGCCCCGCCGCCAGCCCAGCGGGCAGGGCCGGAGCCGGGCGGGGAGCGGAGCCGCCCCACCGGCACGCAGCCCTCCCCGCGGGGTCCCGGTGCCGGCCAGCGGCAGTCCCACCTGCCGCCCGCCAGCCCCGCCGCGCCCCGGAGCTCGTTCAGCCCACGGCCGCTCCATCCCCGCCGGGCGCGGAGGCTGCGGACCGGAGCCCACCGCGCCGAGGGCTCAGCGGTGCCGCAGCTGAGGCGGCCGATTATTCTCCCTCTGCTCCCCAAAGCAAATGAGGCGGAAGCAGCTCTTCTTATGGAGAAAGCGTGCAGTCCCCGGTCCATCCCGTGGTGCAGGAGCTTTTCACGCGCTGCTGCACCACAGTCGCCCTTGGTCTCTGATTTTTGGGCAAGGAGGGAGAGAAGCGGGGCACTTATGTACCCAGCACAGCTGCCTCCGGGCTGCCCCCGCGGGCTGCTCTGCTATCCCCAGACCACCTGCGAGCGGGCCACGAAAAAAGTGAAACTAATTTAATCAGCTTATGCGAGGGGGCTGGAGGAGAGCAGGAAACTCGGACCTGGATTCTCTCCCTCACTGCGGCCGTGTTCACAGCCCTGCGGCCCCCACATCTGCCAGTTTGGCCTGGGGAACATCCTCTTATAATTGCCCTTGCAATGGATGTGAGGGCGGAGGACAGCACCGGAGGTGGGAAGAAGGGCAAGGTGCCAGCACAGTGCCCACCCGTTACGTTCAAAGCCCCCACCCACCATCACCCTGCTCCCGGGGGACCCCTGGTTAGCCACATCCTGTTGCTCTGGGGCAGCAGGTTGCAGGAGCAGCTCTCCCAGCCGGCTGGCAGATGCTTGCTGAAGGAGCAGACCCCAGCTGGCCACAAGCCCCAGGGGAATTGCTGTTTGCTGCTCTCTGCCTTGTTGCACTAAACACGTTTCCCCTCCTATTCCAGCAGCAGGGATGTGGATAAACAAGAGTGAAGTCACCAGGACAGAAGAGACCTAGGCCATGAGCAGGGAAACATCAAGGCTCTAAGTCCAATGCTATGGGTGTCTTGTAGCCCTCTCTCGGGGACACTTATGCAATTGGAGAGCTGGGCAGTCAAGTCAGAGGCCACAAAAGCAGCCCCAATGCAGATCCCAGATAAGATGCTAATGCAGGGCCAATGTTTGCTTTGTGTGGGATCACACCAGACTGTGGGACAGAGCAAGGCCCAGGGTTGCCAGGACAGTGTGGCACCAGAGACAGGCTGGGATGGTGAAGGCTACAGGGCAAAATGGGACATGGCTAGAAGATCCTGAAGTGACACAAAGCAGGAATTGTCCAAGGGATGGACCTGAAGGCATTTTCCTCACCAGGAAACACAACGACAACCGTGAACAGGAGGTGTAATACTGACCCAGCCTGGCCTGGCTGCTCCAGGATGGTGCTGAGCTGGGGGGCTGCATCACCACAATCTCAGTGCTGCTGTTTTCACACCCTTTAAACCCCCACCCTCCTGTGACTCAAACATGATGCTGGAAGTGCTGGCCACCACATGGAAGAGTTTTGGGACTGCTCTCCACAGGCATTACATCAGTGAAAGCCCAGTTGAGATGGGCAGAAGCTGTTTCCTGAATCCCTGTTTCCCCTGTTCCCTCTTCAAAGGATGGAGAGCCTGAGAGAAAGATGTGAATCTGGATTTGGCAAATGGGAGTGCTACAGATGTCAGCAGGGATGGAACACTCACTGAGGTAGGAATCAGACTGAGACCCTGTTGGAGTTCCTCAGCATGCTGACATCACTCAGTGTTCGCTGCCTTCCTGGGCAGATCTGGCAGGACTGGCAGGATGAGAGGGCAAGCACGCTGTGTTGTTTGTCATCCTGTGGTCTGCAGGAAGCTCTGCCCATCGCAAGGTCCCATTCTTCATCCATTCCTGCTCCTTGTGCCTCATGAAAGCAGAGCATTTGGTGCCAGCCACGCCTTCCAGTCAACAAAGGATTGCTGAAGGGACACAGACATCCACAAGCTGTTGGAGCAAAAGCACCAGCATCAAGTCAGCTGGGGCAGATACAGAATTGTCAAATGGGTTGGAAGGACCTTAAAAGATCATCCAGTCCAATTATACAGCAGGGATATCTTTCACTAGACCAAATTGCTCAATCAAACCTATCCTTGAGCACTTTCAGGCATGGGGCAGGCACAACTTCTCTGGGCACACTCTGTCAGGCCGTCATCACCCTCACAGGGCAGAATTTCTTCCCAATATCCCTTCTAACCCTGCCCGCTGCCAGTGGGAAGCCATTCTCTGTGTCCTATCACTGCAAAGGCCCTCTCCAGCTCTGATAGAGCCGCTTTGGGATTTGGAAGGGGCTCTTAAGTCCCCCTGGAGCCATCTGGTCCCCAGATTGATGCCCTCTTCTACCCTCTGTACCTTGCCCCCCATCTCCCCTTGCCCTGCAGCACATGCTCAAAGTCAGCCCAGCCCTGCAGAGGACTCCCCCGGCCATTGCCTTGTGTTCACAGAGAGGCTCGGACCCAACACCGGACAGCAGAGAGCGGAGAGTGGACTGGACAGTGGGCAGTGGGCAGTGGGCAGTGGGCAGTGGGCAGTGGGCAGTGGGCAGTGAACATCAAACATCAGGCAGTGAACGGTGAACAGCAGGCAGTGAAAGTGGGCAGTGAGTAGCAAATAGCGAACAGTGGGCAGTGAAGAGTGAACAGCAAACAGCGGACAGCGAGCAGCGGTCAGTGAGCAGTGGACAGTGGGCAGTGAGCAGCGTGAGCAGCGGGCAGTGGGCAGTGAACAGCAAACAGCGGACAGCGAGCAGCGGGCAGTGAACAGCGAGCAGTGAGCAGCGGACAGCGAGCAGTGAAGAGCGAGAGCAGCGGACAGTGGGCAGTGAACTGTGGGAATCCAGGGCTTCCCTCTGGCTGCCCTGGCAGGTCTGGGACCCTGGCAGGGGTCAGGAACCCCCCCTGTACAGAGCCCCGAGAGACACTGTCTGTGATCTCTGTCCATGGAGAGGAGTTTTCAATCTTACAGGATGAATTACAAGCTTTGAGTGTTTGATAAGAGTAATAATTAAGTGTGACACGAGTGCAAAAGTAAAATTTTAAGTTTCTAGATTAGGGGTTCAGAGGGGACAAGATGGAGGAATTGGGTGTGTTGTGTCCTTTTCCTCCTTCTTCATGCCCTCCATGTTTCACTGTAGTGTTGGCATTTTTCTATTAGTTTAAGCTAGAAACACACTGTTCAACGTAAATGATAGATATTGGCACATTATTGTAAATATAGTACACGTAGTTTCTGGTATATAATGTTTGTACCATCCCACTGAGAGGCAGAGCCCCGCACGCTGCCCTGCAAGACAAACCTACGGCAGGGCAGCAGAACATGTTATAGATAAGCAAAAATAAACAACCTTAAAAACAGCACAAACGAATTATAGCTTCTTCTTTAGCAACAAGGCAAAAAGACAGAAACTTTCTACAATCTCAGAATCACCAATACCCACAGATTCCAACAGTGAACAGTGTGAGCAGCGGTCAGTGAACAGTGGGCAGTGAACAGTGAACAGTGTGAGCAGCGGTCAGTGGGCAGTGGGCAGTGAGCAGTGGGCAGTGAGCAGTGTGAGCAGCGGTCAGTGAACAGTGGGCAGTGAACAGCGAGAGCAGCGGTCAGTGGGCAGTGGGCAGTGAGCAGTGTGAGCAGCGGTCAGTGAACAGTGGGCAGTGAGCAGTGTGAGCAGCGGTCAGTGAACAGTGGGCAGTGAGCAGTGTGAGCAGCGGTCAGTGAACAGTGGGCAGTGAGCAGCGTGAGCAGCGGTCAGTGGGCAGCGGTCAGTGAACAGTGGGCAGTGGGCAGTGAGCAGCGTGAGCAGCCGCTGCGGACACACTCGAGCCCCGCGCCCCCCGCGGTCGGCGCGCGGCGCTCTTGCACCCCCTGCCGGCCCGGTCGCGCAGCGCAGCCGCCGCCCGGGGTGCGCGGTGCCGCCGCGCCCCGCACCGCGCACTGCTGAGCCCGCACCGCGCACTGCTGAGCCCCGCACCACGCACTGCTGAGCCCGCACCGCGCACTGCTGAGCCCGCACCCCGCACTGCTGAGCCCCGCACCGCGCACTGCTGAGCCCGCACCGCGCACTGCTGAGCCCGCACCCCGCACTGCTGAGCCCCGCACCGCGCACTGCTGAGCCCCGCACCGCGCACTGCTGAGCCCGCACCGCGCACTGCTGAGCCCCGCACCGCGCACCACGCACTGCTGAGCCCCACACCACGCACTGCTGAGCCCCGCACCCCGCACTGCTGAGCCCCGCACCCCGCACCCCGCACTGCTGATCCCGCACCGCACACTGCTGAGCCCCGCACCCCGCACCCCGCACTGCTGAGCCTCGCACCGCACACTGCTGAGCCCCGCACCGCGCACTGCTGAGCCCCGCACCCCGCACCGTGCACCGCTGAGCCCCGCACCCCGCACTGCTGAGCCCCGCACCGCGCACTGCTGAGCCCGCACCGCGCACTGCTGAGCCCGCACCGCGCACCACTGAGCCCGCACCGCGCACTGCTGAGCCCCGCACCCCGCACCCCGCACCACTGAGCCCGCACCGCGCACTGCTGAGCCCCGCACCCCCCACCGCGCACTGCTGAGCCCCGCACCGCGCACTGCTGAGCCCGCACCGCACCGCGCACTGCTGAGCCCCGCACCGCGCACTGCTGAGCCCCGCACCCCGCACCCCGCACCACTGAGCCCGCACCGCACACTGCTGAGCCCCGCACCCCCCACCGCGCACTGCTGAGCCCCGCACCGCGCACTGCTGAGCCCGCACCGCACCGCGCACTGCTGAGCCCCGCTGTAATCCAGTCCGCAGCCCTGCCGAGGAAGGAGAACTT